CTGAGTTACACAATGTATCCCATCCCAGTTACATCTGTGTTTCTGGATCTCCATCCGTTGCACATCTTCCCATATCCCAAACATGCTTCTCACAACACGTCTCTGTCTCCCCTCCTCCCTCACTCCCCATACAAGCCTCTCCTCACTCACTCTCATCACACACAAGCCCCACGCATACAGCTCCCTCACACACCCTCCTTACAGTCATCACGTACAGGTACAGCATCTCTCCAGGACCAATGGTGCAGACCAGCGGAGGGGGCCCCTTGAGGTCTCCCCCCAAGCCTTCTCCAGCGACAGCAGCAGCAGCAGCAGCAGCACTCAGGGTGTGTGGGCACGGTATGAGGGGGTTCAGTGCGGCATCCACAGAGGCCCATGGCACCATGCATGGGGGCTCGCTGGGAAGGATGTGAAACGCACCCTGCTCGTCCTGGCAGGGGCCGACAGGGGGACAAGTAACATGTGTGCATGGGGAGAATGGGGGACAGTGAAATGAGATGGCATGAACAGGAAACCGTGGCATGCCAGTAAGTGCATCAAAGGGGGCCTCCGATACAGTCTGTTGGATAAAGCGAGATGTGGCGATTGTGGAGCATCAAGAGAAGAGCAGAGAAAAGAGCGGGCACATGAGTTGGTATCAAAGCTAGGAGTAGGAGAAGGCGAGCAAGCGAGCAAGACGAGTTACAGAAGAAAAGGTAAGGGGGCAGAGGAGGGCAGGCATGATTTTACCTCTGCCCGCCAGTATTTTGCAGCAGGGTATTCCCGCACTCTCATCCGGAACACGTCGAGCGGGGGCAGCAGCCGGAAAGTTTTCCTGCCCGTGACAACCACGTAAAAGTTTTCGTAGTGGTCCTTGTGCCAGCTTGTCACTGCCCGGTCGTCCCCAATCCACAGATTCACAGCTTCGGGCAGGTTGCCGCCCAGCGCAGCTGTGGCGAATCCGATATGCTCGTCTGCATCTGCAGCCAGGGCAGCAAATTCTGTCCTGAAGCTGCCGTTCTGATGCTGAACATAGGGAATGCCGATGAAGGGAGAGTTTGAGGGGTGTGATGCCACGAGTGAGGGAGAGTGTGAGGGGGAGTGTGAGGGGGAAGAACGCGAGGAGTAGAGGAGGCGGAGGAAGGTAGGGAGGGTGAGGGAAGCTTCGTGTGGGGTGACAAACCACGCACAGGGCGAGTCACAGCGGCAAGCCCGAGGAATGCTGTCACAACTGCAGCCGCCACCACCACCACTACACACACTGCCACAGCTGCCGTTACTCTCAGAAAACCTCCCTGCTTTCACCTCCTCCCCCACCCTTTCAGTTTCTCCTTCCGCTTCCGCCCCCTCTGCCTCTTCGTCGCGTCCACTTCCATTACTATTAATGCAGCCCTCCCTATTATCCCACCCGTCCTTGCTCTCCCACCCTTCCTCCCCAGGGAAAAACACCCACCTTCGAACACCCATATCCTCCCTGACCTCACCACCCCGTGCCTCGCTACCGTCACCGCTCCTACACTCACATCCGCTACTCGTTCCCCCGTCTTCCCTCGTGTTACACCCTGAACCCAGATTCTCGTCTCTTCGTTCTGCCGATCCTGCTTCTGACCGTCCGACGCCGTCGCGCCAAACAATCGCGTCGCCGTGGCCGTCAGGAGTGAAATCCACAGTGATTTTTTTATCCCCTAACGCGTCAATTAAGTATTGGTCGGTTCGCCAGAGGGACAATGCCGGCCAATGGCTGACGGCGCCGGTAATCACGCACGGCCGGTTAGCCGCTACATAGTCGCGGTAGAATTCGAGGGGGGAGAGAACTATGGGGGGATCGCTAGAACCACTAGTAGGATTGAAGCCTGCTCTGTACGCGTTAACACTCGCTTCGGTTTTAGCATAAGATCGCGCAGCTGCGTGCGAAATAGCGATTCTGGGAACGGCGGTCGCGCGACACTCGCGGCTGGAGGCGACAATGTCGCCAGAGTCGTCATCGCTGTCGCTGTCGCTAGTCGCACCGAAGGAGAACTCGCGAGCGTCGCATGAGAGACCGCTCAGCAGCGACGCAATCGCGTCCCTGTCACCACCTCTTCTCTTATCGCGAAGAGCCATCAGGCGACCCCGCGGGATATGCTAATACCTGAACGAATAAAGCTGCTTCTATCGTATCCTAGTTCTTGAAAAATCGTGCTGTCTATGATATCAAAAGGAGAAAGCTATCCTCGGTACAAACCGAATCTACTGCAATACTCTCAAATTCATAGCGACTTCTGTTAGGAGTGATGAAGGAACACAAGCTTGGCATAATGCACATAATATTGGAAAAACAAGCAAATTCAAACGCCTTGCAAACTTGCGCTCAAGAAGGTCGAGCCAATTGAGCGTTCATTCAGCAGACCAATTGGTCTCCAGCCTTACTTCGAACCACTGGAAAGCACCTTTCCCACCACCCAACTCCAATTCACAAGCCGAGTCGAGCAAAAACTCTGCTGCTTCCTCCAGAGTCTCAAAAACTGCCAAGTCGTCCGACAGGCGTTTCCCGTCCTTTTCCCAGCTTTGAAGCTCACTCAAAAGGCACTGTAGCACTTCCTCGCGTGATAAAAACACTTCCTCTTCGCCAGGAGCTATAAAAACGTAAGTGTTGGCTGTTTCGTAGTGTACTGAGCGACCTGCATTTAGCTGGCAGATGGGGACCAGGGGGACCAGGGGGAGGGACCAGGGGACCAGGGGGAATGACCAGGGGGGGCAGGGGGAGGGACCAGGGGGAGGGGCCAGGGGGGGGACCATGGGGAAGGACCAGGGGGACCAGGGGGAGGGACCAGGGGGACAAGGGGGACCACGTGGAGGGAAGGGCACGGGTAAATGGAAGTTGGTTTCGAACAATCAACTGGGAGAAGGTGCAAAGGAGCATATGGATCGAAACACCAGAACATGGTACACATGCAGGAAACTGCCTGGAAACTCTAAAAGGAGGACAACTTAGGGGACTACGTTAAGTTTGACATCTTAGGAGACCGAGAAAGAGAGAGAGCAATCAAGAGAGGGGGAGACAGAGGGCAGGAAGGTTCTTAGTGAAAAATGAAGGTAATGGAGGAAGAGGAAGGGAAATATGAGGAGGGGTAAGCAGCGGAAAAGAGAATGCGGGAAGAAGGGAGAAACAGGGGGAGTGGAGATGCAAAAAGAAGGGAGAAGCAGGGGGGGTGGAGATGCAGGAAGAAGGGAGAAGCAGGGGGAGTGGAGATGCAGGAAGAAGGGAGAAGCAGGGGGAGTGGAGATGCAGGAAGAAGGGAGAAGCAGGGGGAGTGGAGATGCAGGAAGAAGGGAGAAGCAGGGGGAGTGGAGATGCAGGAAGAAGGGAGAAGCAGGGGGAGTGGAGATGCAGGAAGAAGGGAGCATGGCAGAGCAGAAGAGTGACCGTACCCGAGAAGCCCGAGATCTTGAAACTTCAGCAGAAACGATTACTATCCGTGGAACACATGCTGTTACAGGCAGCTTTGCACGGAATGATGGTAATGGTGTCAATAATGCTCTCCGGTGCACCGTTTCTGACAGGCTTCGAACGAACATGCATGATCTAGCGGCTGCTGAAGACGCAGTCGACGTCATCGGCGCTGCTAATGCGGCTGAAGCGGGTGAAAGTGACATCATTGCTGCTGCTTGCAAGTGGGTGGGGATTGGAAAAACACAACAAGAGCACACGAAACGAAGAGAGCAGGCGGAGGAGGGAGAAAGAAATGCAATGCGTGAGACGACAGGTGACAATGGGTTGATGAGAGAAGCGGATCAGAGGCAGGTACGGACTGAGAAGGTCCAGTCTCGGTTTGCAAACAATTTCATATCGAAGTTTGATCACAGCTTTTAGTTAAGAAGTCGCAAACATCAGGCATGACAAGCAACGGGAATACCTGTGCAAGGACCCATGGTGGCGGCAGGGGTTCTAATTAGCTACAGTCTAAAGCCGTGAACTACGGCTGCTGCTGGGATGGAAACGCGCGCTAAAAATGATAGAGAATTTTAGTCTCCTTGGGAACTTGTTGCAGTCAGGGTGGGGACTTGCTTTGTACCCGCTATGTATACCTCGTTTTGAGGGTTGTCGAATATTGAACTGTACTGCAAAACTTTTTGAAAACGGGTTCTGCTGCATGTTCACTGGTACAGTAAAAGCGGTGTCCACATTCCTGAATTCTGGTTCTGGGCCACGTGTCTCTCAGCCATTCCATTTCCTGACCTGCAGGAAGATTTGTCCAACAATGCTTCTGAACCACGGTCTGCTGTTCAACAAACAACATCCTTGTTTCTGTACACTTTAACATGCCTTGAATGCCAACAAAATTTTATAATTTGGGTGAAAACAATTGGAGAATTCAGACGAGTGAGAATTGCTTGGCTATTTTGAAACATCTTACTCGACCACCGAAAATTCCATTTTACGCAAGGTGATTACCCAAGAAACTCCCAGCAATGGCGAAGCTCCCAAGGGACACCATGGCGACTCGATCCATCATCAACCCATCGTCATTATCCCTCCGTCACCACTCCCCCCATGCACCTATCCTCCACTCCACTCCACTAACACCTCGCCTCCCCCCTGCTCCAAAATTTCCACAAGGAGCAAATTCTACTAATCTCTTCACTATGTTACAACACAGTTTTTCCACTTCCCTGTTCTCCTCTGCCTTTTCTTCCACCTGTTAGCTTTCGCGGATCGAAGCGTGTAACGGGCGACGCACGCAAGCGTGCTGTGTTGGTTTGCGACTAGAATCCTCTCCTTTCTGAGAGTAGAATTCGTCTCAGTTCCTAGCGCGCTTTGCAGAAAGTCAGACGTCGCGTAGATAGCCGGCATGGGAGCCCTTTTCACTGGGGCCTCCTCCCTATCCAAGCTCTCCGCCGTCGCACGTGTGTCGCCTACGCTTTCGCCCAGACAGTCTCTTGGTTCGCTTAGCGATCGCCTGATTCCCTCGGGATTGATCTCCACACGCGTTGCTAGAACCCGACTTTACCGATCCAGCCTATTTCCCCATCCCGCCGCAATGGTCGCCGGGATCGACGGTGGAATTGGCGGCCACTCGGCCGATAAGCAACAACCCGCGAGGCCAATCACTGTCGCGTCGGCGGCGGCTGCAGGAGATGGCGGCACCGCAGCTTCCTCGCAAGTGAAGGAGGTTCCAGCTGGCGCCGCAATTTCCGGCGCGAAAACCGGGGTAGCAGCCGCGGCGGGGAGAGGAAACGTGGGAGTGCGGCGATTGGAGGAACTTGAGTGGGAGAGCACGTTTGTTGACAAGCTTCCTGGGGATCCAGTCGAAGAAAACCACGTTCGAATAGTACGTACTAAATGCAGGGAGATTCTTTGTGCTAGTAGTAGTTAGGCACTTCTTTTCTTCTTCTTCTTCCTTTTCTTTTTCTTCCTTTCTTCTTGGCGGCTTGTTTCGTTTGTAATTGGGTATTTCTATCGACTGAAATTTGTTTATTTGATACCTAAAACTGAACCTTCATCACGGTCTTTCGCTGCACGTGTGTAATTACATGCATGGCGTTGCTCTGTCCCTCCTTCGCGCACCACAGGTTCGCAACGCGTGCTACTCGCGAGTGCGACCTTCGCTAAAGCTCAAGGACCCGCAGATCGTCGCCGCTTCGGAGTCTGTGGCTCACCTCATTGGCCTCGATCCGAATGAGTGAGTTGATTTATAAGTTCTCCTTTCGCGAATTAGCTTTCTGCTTTTGCTCAACGTGAATTCAGCCGTGTTACCGCGTCGGAGTTGGTGGCTCACTTTATTGGTCTCGACCCGAACGAGTGAGCTCGTCTGTGAAATTGCCTGAATAGTTCTAGCCTTGGAGTCCACTGGCTATGAAATTCCTAGCCCTAAAGAAATAGGCAACCTTTCATATTGTGCTGGCACTTATATTTTATATCTCCTTCCATTCCGCTTTCCCCCGCCACAGGTTCACGCGTCCTGAGTTTGCGGCGGTCTTCACGGGGGGCATTGTGCTTCAGGGCTGGTGAGTGGTCAGAGTATAGGAACCTTCTCTTTCATCCAGTTTGTCAAGTGCTTCAGGCCTGGTGCGTGCTGAAACCGGTCCTCTAGGGCTGAGGCCAATTCCGGAATTATTCTAGGGCTGAGGCCAATTCCGGAATTATTCTAGGGCTGAGGCCAATTCCGGAATTATTCTAGGGCTGAGGCCAATTCCGGAATTATTCTAGGGCTGAGGCCAATTCCGGAATTATTCTAGGGCTGAGGCCAATTCCGGAATTATTCTAGGGCTGAGGCCAATTCCGGAATTATTCTAGGGCTGAGGCCAATTCCGGAATTATTCTAGGGCTGAGGCCAATTCCGGAATTATTCTAGGGCTGAGGCCAATTCCGGAATTATTCTAGGGCTGAGGAGTGTGGAGTAGAAACGCGCCTCATCTCTCACAAACACCCCTCCGTCTCTCCTCATCTCTCCTCATCTCTCCTCATCTCTCCTCATCTCTCACAAACACCCCTCCGTCTCTCCTCATCTCTCCTCATCTCTCCTCATCTCTCACAAACACCCCTCCGTCTCTCCTCATCTCTCCTCATCTCTCACAAACACCCCTCCGTCTCTCCTCATCTCTCCTCACATCCTTCTGCAAGCCTCACGCGCAGTGCTACGAGGGCCCCCCCACATCCCCGCCTCCCCTCTCCACTGCCCTTTGCCCCTCCTTTACCGCGCACTCCCCCTGCCCGCTCCCGTTCTTCCCCTGTTTCTTCCCCTCACGCCTTGCAGCAAGCCCTACGCGCAGTGCTACGGGGGGCACCAGTTTGGGTCATGGGCGGGGCAGCTGGGGGATGGGCGCGCCATCACACTGGGGGAAGTGGTGCTGGGGCGGGAAGGCGTGCAGGGGGAGGGCGCGCAGGGGAAGGGGTGGAGGGAGCGGTGGGAGTTGCAGCTGAAGGGGGTGGGGAAGACGCCGTACAGTAGGCACGCGGATGGGCGCGCTGTGCTGCGCAGTTCCATTAGAGAGTACCTCTGTAGCGAGGCCATGGCCGCCCTGGGTGTGCCTACAACGAGGGCGCTCTCTGTTGTCACCACTGGGGAGAAGGTGCTGCGAGACATGTTCTACAAGTGAGTGTGGCTGTGACTGTGTGTGTTTATTTCAGTGTCACCTATGCTTGACAAGTGAGTGTGATCATCTGTGTTGCGTTTTGAGTCGACTCAAAACACGACTTCTTGACAAGTGAGTGTGATCGTCTGTGTTGACTTCGGAGTCACCCGATTTCCATTCCCATCCCTCCATCCCCATCAGTTACATCACCAAGTTTGAACCAGGAGCTGCTGTGTGCCACTTGGCACCCCATTCCCCATCAGGCCTCTCCATTCTCATTGTCGCATCCCCATCCCCCCATTCCCCCATCCCCCAATTCCCCCGCCTCCCCGTTCCCCCATCCCCCAATTCCCCCGCCTCCCCGTTCCCCCATCCCCCAATTCCCCCGCCCCCCCGCCCCCCCGTTCCCCCATCCCCCAATTCCCCCGCCCCCCCGTTCTCCCATCCCCCTCTGAACGCCAGTGGCAACGCCAAGTTCGAGCCAGGAGCTGCTGTGTGCAGCGTGGCACCCTCCTTCATCAGGCCGGCCCCATATCCTCATCCGTTTCCTGCATCCCCTTCCCCCCATCCCCTCCCATCACCCCATTACCCCATCACCCCATCCAACCCAGTGGCAACGCCAAGTTCGAGCCAGGAGCTGCTGTGTGCCGCGTGGCGCCTTCCTTCATCAGGTCAGTCCTCGTATCCATTCAAGCCGCATTCACACAAGGTGCCGTTTTTGCACGAGGTTGCTTTTTGTTTGCTTAAGATACGCGTATACCAGACTGTGTACTTGACGGTTGTGTTAGAGCATCAGGGCTGTTATTGGAAAAAAAGAGGTTGGTGAAATTTCTCATTATTTGAAGCACGTTTTTCATGTGATGTTCTCGCGCCCATCTATTTCTCATTCTGTTCCCAACAGGTTCGGCTCGTTCCAGCTCCATGCCTCCCGGGGAGGTTTGGACAAGGAGATGGTTCGGGTGCTGGCGGACTACACCATTCTGCACCACTTCCCGCACCTGGCCGACCTCCCCGAGCCTCCAGTGCAGGTCCGGGAGCCAGGCTCGGAGGAGGACGAGGAGGTTGGGGATCCCGATGCTGTGGATGTGACGACAAACAAGTATGCAGGTATGTGGTTGGCGCTTCCGTTCACTTGCGCTTCTGTTCACTTGTGCTTCTGTTCACCTGCGCTCCCTTTCACTTGCGCTTCCTTTCGCTTGCGCTTCCGTTCACTTGTGAACAGCATGTGTGTGTGTGCTTGGTCCCACAATCAACTACGGGCCCTTCGGATTTCTCGACTCCTTCGACCCCGATTTCACCCCCAGCACCCCCTCCTTTTCCCCTCCCTCCCCCCTGCCCCCTTCCTCCCGCCTGCCCTCTCCAGCATGCTTTGCTGAAGTAGCAGCAAGCACAGGCAAATTGGTGGCGGGGTGGCAAGCAGTGGGGTTCACACACAGCGTGCTCAACACAAACAACATGAGCATCCTCGGCCTCACCATCGACTACGGGCCCTTCGAATTCCTCGACTCCTTCAACCCGGATTTCACCCCCAACACATCCTTTTTTCCCCTTCCCCCTCCCCCTCCCTTTCCCCCTCCCCTTCCCCTGCCCCGCCCTGCTCTCCAGCCTGGTTTGCTGAAGCACCAAGGAGCGCAGGCGAGCTCGTTGCAGCGTGGCAGGGGGTGGGGTTCACGCACGGCGTGCTCAACACGGACAACATGAGCATTCTCGGCCTCGCCATCTCCCTGTCCTCCCCCTTCCCATGTCCTTCCCCCGTGTCACCAGCGTGGTTCGCTCAAGTAGCAAAGAGCACGGGAGAGCTAGTAGCAGCATGGCAAGCAGTGGGGTTCACGCACGGCGTGCTCGACACGGACAACATGAGCATTCTCGGCCTCACCATTGACTACCCCTTCCCCTCCCCCTTCCCATTTATCACCAGCATGGTTTGCTGAGGTAGCAGCAAGCACGGGAGAGCTCGTCGCGGCATGGCAGGGGGTGGGGTTCACGCACGGGGTGCTCAACACGGACAACATGAGCATTCTCGGTCTCACCATTGACTACGGCCCCTTCGGGTTCCTTGATGCCTTTGACCCGGATTTTACCCCCAACACGTCGGACATGCCCGGGAGGAGATACTGCTTCCGGCAGCAGCCGGATATTGGGCTGTGGAACGTGGTGCAGCTGGCCAATACGCTCGTGACAGGTGGCATAATTGGAGTGGCCGAGGCGCAGCACGGGGTGTCCAGGTGTGTGTGTGTGTGTGTGTGTGTGTGTGTGTGTGTGTGTGTGTGTGTGTGTGTGTGTGTGTGTGTGTGTGTGTGTGTGTGTGTGTGTGTGTGTGTGTTGGGGGATTTTCAGGCATGTTTCAGCCGTAGGGCATTCCCTAGTGGTCAGCACCATCCATCCACCAGGCCCCTTTGGATCCCTCGATTCCTCTGAGTCATGCAACTTCTGAGGCGCCTCAAAATCCCGCGGACATGCCTGGGATGCCTTTCACCCGGATTTCACCCCCAACACGTCGGACATGCCCGGGAGGCGGTACTGCTTCCAGCAGCAGCCTGATATCGGGCTCTGGAACGTGGTGCAGCTGGCCAATACGCCCGTGACAGGTGGCATTACTGGAGTGGCCGAGGCTCAGCACGGGGTGTCCAGGTGACTTTGGAGGGGGATGGCTGTGTGGGTGGGTGGGTGGCAGAATGGCCGTGCCTTGTTGTCTTCAACTAGAATCGAGAATCACTTGGAGCTGCTAGTTGGCAGCGACTGCTTCATTCCCCATTTGCTCACCCCCCTCTCATCTCCCATCACAGGTATGCGTAGTCCTTTCTCTCAGCCTACCAGCAGCGCATGGCGGCCAAGCTGGGTGTGCCATCATACGACAAGGACCTCACCCAGTCGCTTCTGCAACTCATGGCCATGAGCGGAGCACCAACACGTCTCTGCATTCCTGCTGCTGCTGCTCTGCTGCTGCTGCTGCTGCTCTGCTGCTGCTGCTGCTGCTGCTCCGCTCATCCCTCTTGCCGCTTTCCGCTCTCCTCCCTCCCCCCTGCCCCCCTGACCCCCACCTCCCATCACAGTACGCGGAGGCATTCCTGTCAGCCTACCAGCAGCGTATGGCAGCAAAGCTGGGTCTGCCAGCATACGAAAAGGACTTGACTCACTCTCCGCCCTCGTCCCCATGTCCCCCTTCAACCCCCCCTCCCCCCTCCCCCCCCCCCCCGCATTTCCCATCCCAGGTACGCGGAGGCATTCCTGTCAGCCTACCAGCAGCGCATGGCAGCAAAGCTGGGTCTGCCATCATACGAAAAGGACTTGACTCAGTCGCTGCTGCAGCTCATGGCCAAACATGGCGCTGACTTCACCAACACCTTCCGTGCCCTTGCTCGTGTTCCTGCTGAACGAGGTGGGTACTTGTGTTGAGGCCAAGCTGGCTCTGCCAGCGTACGACTAGGACCTCACCCACTTGCTGCTGCAACTCATGGCCAAACATGGCGCTGACTTCACCAACTCCTTCTGCTCTCTTGCCCGTGTGCCCGCTGAAAGAGGTGAGTCTTCTAGCGGAAGTGCTGTTGGGAGTATAGGTAGTGGGGGTAGTGAGGGTGTGTGGGCAGTGCGGGTAGTGTGTGCGTCTGCAGCTCATAGCAAATCACGCCTCTGACCTCGCCCGCGTGCCCGCTGAAATGTGAGGGGAATCAGGGTCTGCAGCTCAACACCTTTAGAGCCCTCGCCCGCGTGCCCGCTGAAAGGGATGGGTCCTCTAGCGGATTTGCTGTTGGGAGTAGTGGTCGTGGGGGCAGTGGGGGTAGTGGGAGTACTGGGGGCAGTGGGGCCAGTGGGGGTAGTGCGGTAAGTGCGGGGCATTGCGGGTAGAGCGGATACTGCAGGTGTCTGCACACTATGGCGCTGATACGGTGCTGTGATTAGCCATGATGTGTTGTGCAGACAAAGTGACTTTTGAGTCGACTGAAAAGTCACCTTGAGAAGTGCGGGGCATTGGGGGTAGAGCGGACACTGCAGGTGTCAGCACACCATGGCGCTGATACGGTGCTGTGAATAGCCATGATGTGCAGACATGATGTGCAGACATGATGTGCTGACATGATGTGCAGACATGATGTGCAGACATGATGTGCAGACACCTGCAGGTTCCGCTCCACTCTCCCCATGGTTTTTGACAGTACGAACATCTGATCAACACCTAGTTTTGAGACGGCTCAAAACTACAACAGGCTCTTAGGAGTACCAAAGTCGTATCAACACCTTCGGGGCCGTCGCCCATGTTCCTGTTGTTCCGCTTCCCCCTCTCCCTCTCCTTCCCCTTCCCCTCTGCAGACTTTTCAGACGCTGACCTGCTGGCGCCAATGAGGGGGGCGCTGGGGTTGCAGGAGGGGGCAGGGAAGGAAGGGGAGAAAGAGAAGGAATGGGTGGACTGGCTCCGGCTTTATACTGCCAAGGTGGGTGGGATGGGTGTGATGCGAGTTGTCAGGGAGAGGGAGTGGGGCAACAGGAAGAGAGAGTGGGTGTGTTCTGAATTGACTGGGAAGGGAAGGAGTGGGAGGGGAAGAAAGAGAAGGAATGGGTTGAGTGGCTCCGGCTTTATACTGCCAAGGTGGGTGCAATGGCCTGTCATAGTGTGTTGCACTGCTCTCCGTCTGTGTTTCATCTCCTTGTAATGAGTTGATTTTTTAGTCAGCTACTCCGTCTGTCTCTTGCAGTTGCTACTTTCGGTATTTCTCGGTCGATGTTTTCCTTCAGCACTCTTTCTCTCACACACACACCCCACTTATGTCTAAGTTGTCACTCGCCCTGCATTTCTATACAGTTTTTGCTCCTCGTTTCCTGTGCACCTTGTGAAATGTATTTTCGTCGTCCCCTTGTTGTCCCTGCTTTCAGCTACGGGCTGAAAAGGTTTCAGATGCTGCCCGGCGGGCAGCTATGGATGCAGTCAACCCAGCTTACATCCTCCGCAACTACCAATGCCAGCTGGCGATCGAGGCAGCTGAACACGGAGATTTCAGCGTTACACAGCGGTTACAGGAAGTGTTGCAGAATCCTTATAAGGAGCAAGCAGGGGCTGAGGAATTTGCCCAGCCCCCTCCTGAGTGGGCACTCAAGCCTGGGGTTTGCATGCTCTCGTGTTCTTCTTGAGTGATTTGTATTTCTACGTATTGAGGGGGATAGTGTATACGGTAATAGGACTGGGTTCTTGTGAAACTAAACCATAAAATCCATTTATCCATTGACTCAACATGTTGGAATGATTGAAGATAGTATCATAGCTAACTCTGGAGATAGGGAAAGAAGTGCGGTGCTGTTACGAGTGCAATTGGAGTGAGTGAGCGAGGATTGCACTATCGAGACAGGATACAATGAGCGAAGGAATGAGCGAAGAATATATAGCGAAACTATGGTGGTAACGGTAATGTGGGAAATGGGGTGCGCGACGGGCCTGGCCTGGTGCCGAGGTTTGGGGAACTGTCGAGGCGGAGGTCCGGAGCGCGGGTTACCAACCGGGCCGTGTGGTTGGGTCGCATCGTGAACAGTGGCGGGAATGGTGTCGAGGCGAATGTCGCGAGTGGTAACGGGATATTGTGGGGTGCTGTCAGTGTTGTACGCGCTGAGCAGGGACGCGAAGTAGGGAATAGGAATTTTCCTTATACTACCCCCCCCCCCCCCCCCCCCCCCCCCCCCCCCTTAAGGAGGTCTTTTTACGAGAGCGCGTGTATATCCCGGAAATTTCTGCTGCGCAGGTAGTCGGTGAGGACGGGGTGGTGTCAGAACATATATATAGCTTATGCTGTTGTGTAGGCTATAGTGGGGTATCCCATAGGGGGTACAACCCAATTAGGGTTTCCCATATGTACTCACTTCATTCATAGTTCATTCATCCTCGTTCTACTTTTCTCATGGTATCGAGCAGGTTCCCTCGTGGGAACTGTTCCTAGGGCCCACCGTTTTTTTTTCCTGCCCGGAGCGCACTCTGCCCCTACCCGAGTCGCGCTTCCCTCTCTCTTGGCCCCTAGTGGCCCCTTTAGCCGCCCGTCACGGCCCTTAGACGCCCGCGCGCCGCCCGTCCCGGCCCCTAGACGCCAGTGCGCCACCCGGCCCGGCCCCTAGACGCCAGCGCGCCGCCCGTCCCGGCCCCTAGACGCTCGCGCGCCGCCCGTCCCGGCCCCTAGACGCCCGCGCGCCGCCCGTCCCGGCCCCTCGACGCCCGCGCGCCGCCCGTCCCGGCCCCTCGACGCCCGCGCGCCGCCCGTCCCGGCCCCTCGCCGCCCGTGAGCCGCCCGTCCCGGCCCCTAGACGCCCGCGCGCCGCCCGTCCCGGCCCCTAGACGCTCGCGCGCCGCCCGTCCCGGCCCCTCGACGCCCACGCGCCGCCCGTCCCGGCCCCTAGACGCCCGCGCGCCACCCGGACCGACCCCTAGACGCCCGCGCGCCGCCCGTCCCGGCCCCTCGACGCCCGCGCGCCGCCCGTCCCGGCCCCTCGACGCCCGCGCGCCGCCCGTCCCGGCCCCACGCCGCCCTACCTGCGGCCTACTCGCCGCCCTACCTGCGGCTCGCCCGCCGCCCTAACTGCGGCCTGCCCGCCGCCCTACTTGCGGCCCTACCGCCGCCCTGCCTGCGGCCCGCCCGCCACCCTACCTGCGGCCAGCCCGCTGCCCTACCTACGGCCCGACCGCCGCCCTACCTGCGGCCCAACCGCCGCCCTACCTGCGGGAGCCGCCTAGCAGCAGAACCGCCGGGAGCCGAGCCGCCCTGCCGCCGAGCCGCCCGGGAGCCGAGCCGCCCTGCCGCCGAGCCGCCCGGGAGCCGAGCCGCCCTGCCGCCGAGCCGCCCGGGAGCCGAGCCGCCCTGCCGCCGAGCCGCCCGGGCGCCGAGCCGCACTGCCGCCGAGCCGCTGAGCAGCCGAGCCGCCCTACTGCCGGGCCGCCCGACCTGCCCTGTCCGGTGAGCACAGCCCCACTGGCACTGCGTGCCCTTCCCCTACTGCTTGCACTGCTCGTCTGTCGTCGTCATGGCTACCCCTAGCGTCCTCGCTTTTGACGCTGAGGGTCGAGCCATTGACTTTGAGGTCTGGGTCGACGACCTGCAGCTGTTCTTACAGTGCGATAGGGCGGACGGTCTTTCCCTCTTTGACCTCACCTCTGGCGCCTCTCCTGCCCCTGCTACTGATGCTGACCCCACTGTTCGCTCTCAGTGGGCCACCCGCGATGCTGCTGCACGTCTTGCTGTGCGTCGCCACCTGCCTACCACTGAGCGCGCGCACTTTAGTCAGTACAAGAGTGCTCAGACCTTGTACGACGCTGTAGTTGCGCGCTACTCTTCCCCTGCCACTGCTGCCCTGAGCCGCCTCATGCTACCGTACCTCTTTCCTGACCTTGCTGCCTTTCCCACTGTCGCTGACCTCATTACGCACCTCCGCACTAGTGACACTCGCTACCCGCGCCGCCCTTCCTGCTGAGTTCTGCGCCAAGAACCCCCCCCCCATGTACATCACTCTCTATTACATCGTCACACGCCTCCCTGACTCCCTTCGCGTAGTCAGGGACCACTACCTCTCGGTCTGTCCCACCACTCTCACTGTCGACCTCCTCGAGAAGTCCCTCCTGGCGGCGGAGAAGAGCATCGTCGCTGTAGGAGCCTCTCGTGGTGACCCTCGCACCCCCATCTTTGAGGGGTGTTCTCCTTCCCCCCTGCTGCCCTCTGTTGCCTCTGCTGCTGCTGCCGACCTGCTTGGTCTTGAGTCGGTCTGCGCGGCGTCTGCCCCTAGCGGGAGACGCCGCCCTGGCAGGGGCAAGGGGGGCAAGGGCGCGGGTGGAGCTGGCGGGGGCGGTGGAGGAGGCGGTGGAGGCGGAGGAGGGAGTGGGGGTGGCGGTGGGAGTGGTGGCGGGGGCGGTGGTGGAGGTGGCAGCAGCGGAGGAGGAGGCGTCGGTGGCGGCAGCGGTGGGAGCGGAGGCAGCGGTGGTGGTGGAGGTGGAGGCAGCGGTGGCGGAGGGGGTGGAGCTGGTCGGGGTGGTGCCCCGCAGCGTAGCGGCCCTGGTGGTGGCCAGCGTCAGCAGCAGCAGCAGCAGCAGCAGCGTTCGCGGGACATCCCCCCGCCCCAGCAGCTCCGTGAGTGGTACACGCAGCGTCAGCGGGGTGGGGGTTTTGGTCCATGCACCTACGTCCTTCGTTCCGGTGACCGAGCGGGTGAGCAGTGTGGGGGTGCGCACCCCACTCAGCGCTGCTTTGCCCGCCTGACGGACGCTTGGCGTCAGCAGTTCCCCGAGGCCAGTGAGATTCCCCGTTGGGGAGAGCTGTCTAGGGCTGGCGTAGCTGTCTTTGATCTTGACTTTGATGCTATCCTTGCTGCCATGTATGCTGTGACTATTAGTGAGGAGGGTGACTGTTACCAGTGTTTCCCGCCCGACCCGGGCATTGGTACTGCTGCGCCAGGTACTACTGCGGCTGCTGCTCTAGGTGCCAGTGCGTCTGCACTCTCAGGTACTGGTGAGGCTGCGCTCTCAGGTACTGCGTCGGCTTCGGCCTCCCTCACCTTCACACTTGACTCAGGGGCTTCTCGCTCCTTCTTTCGAGACCGCACCACACTCACGCCGCTTGGCCGGCCGGTTGCAGTCTCCCTGGCTGACCCCTCTGGGGGTCCTGTCCTCTCTCACTTCTCCACTGTCCTCCCGTGTCCGGCTGCCCCCTCGGGCACCTTGTCTGGTCTGTACCTCCCCTCGTTCTCGACGAACTTGGTGAGTGGTGCTGACCTGCAGGATGCGGGGGTTCACCAGTTTACTCCTGCGAGTCAGCGGGTGACCCACTGCTCGGACGCCCGCACAGGCCGACACCTGGCCACGTTTTCGCGTCGGCCGGGGTCGAGTCTCTACACCCTGACCACTGAGTCTCCTCCTGTCCCTGCGTCTGGCCAGGTAGCTGCGTCGGGTCAGGTGTTTGCTGCTGCGTCCAGGTCTGGTCCTGAGTCTGCCCCCTGCTCGTGTCGCCGCCTGTCTCACGAGACTCTCCTGTGGCACCACCGTCTTGGCCACCCCTCCTTGCTTCGTCTTCGGGGCATGGCTTCCCGTGTCCTTGTCTCTGGTCTTCCCCGGTCTCTCCCTCCCCTCCCTTCGGGACCCGGACCTTCTTGTGTCCCCTGTGTCGAGGGGCGGCTCCGGGCTGCCCCTCACTCCTCTCAGTTTCCCCCGACAGAGGCTCCTCTGCAGACGCTTCACATGGACGTGTGGGGCCCCGCCCGCGTCCGTGGGCAGGGTCACGAGCGCTACTTCCTGCTGGTGGTTGACGACTACTCGCGCTACACCACAGTCTTCCCCTTGCGCAGCAAGGGTGATGTCACTGAGGTGTTGATCGACTGGATCCGCGCAGCTCGTCTCCAGCTCAGGAGGAGCTTCGGCTCGGACTTTCCTGTTCTGCGTCTGCACTCTGACCGAGGTGGAGAGTTCTCCTCTGGCCTTCTGCGAGCCTACTGTCGTGCACGAGGCATCCGCCAGACCTTTACGCTTCCGGACTCTCCACAGCAAAATGGGATTGCTGAGCGCCGCATTGGCATGGTCATGGACGTCGCTCGTACGTCCATGATGCATGCGGCTGCCCCCCATTTTCTGTGGCCGTTTGCGGTTCGGTACGCGGCGCATCAGATCAACCTTCACCCCAGGGTCTCCCGGCCGGAGACCTCCCCAGCTCTGCTGTGGACGGGGAAGGTCGGCGATGCGTCTGCGTTCCGTGTCTGGGGATCTCGGGCGTTTGTCCGCGACTTGTCTGCGGACAAGCTGTCCCCTCGTGCTGCTCCCTGTGTCTTCCTCGGCTTCCCCCCTGACGCTCCAGGGTGGCAGTTCTACCACCCCTCCTCTCGTCGTGTTCTGTCCTCCCAGGACGTCACGTTCGACGAGTCAGTCCCCTTCTACCGCCTCTTCCCCTACCGCACTCCTTCCCTCCCCCCGCCACCGCACTTCCTTGTGCCAGGTCCCCCCCCGGTAGACCCCCTTCCCCCTCAGGGTCCTGCCCCTTCAGGTGTGTCCCAGGTAGACGCAGTCGAGCCGGTCGAGGTTGCTGGTGACTCTGGTCCTGCTGGGGGTGCTGAGTCTGGGGGTGCTGAGCCTGGGGGTACTGCGACTGGGGGTGCTGAGCCTGGGGGTGCGGAGTCTGGGAGTGCTGAGCCTGGGGGTGCTGCGACTGGGGGTGCTGAGCCTGGGGGTGCGGAGTCTGGGGGTGCTGAGCCGTGGGGTGCTGCTACTGGGGGTGCTGAGCCAGGGGGTGCTGCGTCTGGAGGTGCTGAGCCTGGAGCTGCGGAGCCTGCGGCCACTGGACCTCCCCTTGTGGCGTCTGGCGGTGCGGGACCTGGCGGTTCTCCGGGTGCTTCGCCTCGGCGGGAGCCCCTCTCTCCACAGGAGCTGCGCGAGTGGTTTGCCCGGCGCTGGAGGCGTGCTGCTGGAGCTGGAGGTTCTTCGGCTGCTGAGGGTGCTGGTGCCGCGGGTCCCGGAGGTGCTGGAGCTGGAGCTGCTGAGGGCGTTGGCGCTGAGGCTACTGCTGTCGGTCCTGGAGGCGGTCCTGCTGGGGGTGCTACTGGTGCTGCTGGAGGTCCTGGAGCTGGAGGTGCTGCTGGCGCTGGTGCTGCCGCTGGGGGTACTGGTGCTGTCCCTGCTGTGTCTGGAGTCGCCGCGCGGCCTAGACCGTACTTCGTTCCGCTCCTTCAGCAGGTTCTTGGTCTCCCGCCTTCTACTGGTCCTCCTCCTCCCTTAGAGTGTCCACAGCCTGTCCTGTCACAGTTACAGTTACAGCCGGCCTCCCCACTGCCCGCTCCTTCTCCCTACACTGGTCCTACTGGAGGTCTTGCTGAGCGTCGTGAGCCTGCGTCTCGCCCTGCGTCGCCTGTCCGTGCTGCTCGCACTAGTGGTCGTGGTTCGCGTCAGCGTCCTCCTCCTGTCCCTGGCACGCACCGGATGTCTCTGCGTCCGTCCACTGCTCCTCTGCGTGCCCCTTTGCCTTCTCCTCCTGAGTCCTCTCTTCCTGCTCTTCCTGACCCGGAGTCGGACTCTCTTCGTGCTGCCAGTCCTGCTGTCACACGTCTCCTTGCTACTGTCGTCACTGACCCCTCTTTTGAGTCCACTGCTGCGTCTGCGCTTGTTGCTGAGCTCGTCGACTTTGCTGCTCGCTGTCGTCTAGACTACGCTGCCGGTCTTGTTGCTGAGTCTGCGTCTGTCTGTCCTCCGTCCGTCGGGGGTGAGTGTGCTCTTGGCACGGACGTCCTTGAGGACAGGCAGGAGGAGTTCAGGTGTCTGGCTGCTGCTTCACCTCATCTCGCGTCCGTACTACTTGCCCCTGAGGGAGACCCGGATGCACTAGACATCCCGACTCCGCGCTCTTACGCGGAGGCCGTAGAGGGTCCCTACTCCTCTCAGTGGCAGGCAGCTATGGATGCAGAGATGGCGTCCTGGAAGTCCACAGGCACCTACGTTGACGCGGTTCCCCCTCCTGGGGCGAACATCGTCAGTGGCATGTGGATCTTCAGGGTGAAGCGGCCGCCGGGCTCTCCACCTGTCTTCAAGGCGCGGTACGTCGCTCGTGGCTTCAGTCAGCGGCAGGGAGTTGACTACTTTCAGACCTTCTCTCCCACCCCGAAGATGACCACTCTTCGGGTGCTGCTGCACATAGCCGCTCAGCGCGACTACGAGCTCCACTCTCTTGACTTCAGTACTGCTTTCTTGCAGGGTAGCCTGCACGAGGAGATCTGGCTGCGCCGTCCACCTGGCTTCACTGGGACTTTTCCTCCTGGCACCCAGTGGAGCCTCCGACGGCCAGTCTACGGTCTCCGCCAGGCACCGCGTGAGTGGCACGACACACTGAGGACTACGCTTGCGGCTCTTGGGTTTGCTCCCTCTACTGCTGACCCGTCGTTGTTTCTGCGCACCGACACTTCTTTGCCGCCGTTCTACGTCCTCGTGTACGTCGACGACTTGGTCTTTGCCACAGCTGACACTGCTGGACTAGCCTACGTGAAGTCCGAGCTGCAGAAGAGACACACGTGCACAGACCTGGGTGAACTGCGCAGCTACCTTGGCTTGCAGATCACTCGGGACAGAGCACGCCGCACCATTACCTTGACTCAGTCACACATGGTGCAGCAGGTCCTTCAGCGCTTCGGCTTCACGTACTCCTCGCCTCAGGCCACTCCTCTGTCTACTCGCCACTCGCTCTCAGCTCTGCCTTCGGATGAGTCCGTAGAGTCGAGTGGCCCGTACCCAGAGCTTGTTGGCTGCCTCATGTACCTGATGACCTGCACACGACCTGACCTTGCATACCCTCTTAGCATTCTTTCTCGCTATGTTGCTCCTGGGAGACACCGACCAGAGCACATGGCTGCAGCGAAGAGGGTGTTGCGCTACTTGTGCAGTACGTCGGGCATGGGGCTAGTGCTTGGAGGGCGGAGTCCAGTGGTCCTCACTGGGCACGCGGACGCTTCTTGGGCAGACGACCAGGCTACACAGCGGTCGTCGCAGGGTTACACCTTCAGTCTTGGTTCCGGCTCTGTCTCGTGGCGGGCTACTCGCTCGTCCTCTGTTCTCAGCTCCAGTTGTGAGGCTGAGATCTACGCCGGGGCCATGGCTGCACAGGAGCTTCGCTGGCTCACCTACCTGCTGACTGACCTTGGAGAGCCGCCTCGTTCTCCTCCAGTGTTGTACGTAGACAACAAGGCCATGCTGGCCTTGTGTCGAGAGCAGCGCTTGGAGCACAGAACGAAGCACATTGCTCTCCGTTACTTTCTTGCTCGTGAGCTGCAGCAGCGTGGTCAGTTGCGACTTGCGTACGTGGCCTCTGAGGCCAACACTGCTGATGTGTTCACCAAGGCACTTGCGCCTTGTGACCATCAGCGCTTCTGCACCCAGCTGGGTCTTGTACCTGTCTTGCCTCACTTGCTCTCTTCTTGACCTTGCTTGTACTGTCACATATATATTCCTGCTCTTGCTTGTCTAGCTCTATATATATATGTGTACTCCTGCATGTGAACTGGCCCTGTTGCCCTGTCGTTGTGCTCGGACTGTGTGGTGACTTTGTGATCCACCCTGAGCTTGCTCTGCTTTGCTTGACTGGTCTTGTGACCCCTTGTTCTCCCCCACTTTGCCTATGGGGGTGTGTCAGAACATATATATAGCTTATGCTGTTGTGTAGGCTATAGTGGGGTATCCCATAGGGGGTACAACCCAATTAGGGTTTCCCATATGTACTCACTTCATTCATAGTTCATTCATCCTCGTTCTACTTTTCTCAGGTGGTTTTCGATTTTGTCCAAGGGAACCCAGTTGTCCTCAGTGGGTGTACGGTCTCTCCAGCGGATTAAAAATTCGACCTTTCGTGCTCCTCGTGGGTCACGAACTCGGTGGCTCAGAATCTTTTCGGGCATGATGACTGGCTCGGTCGGTGGTCGGGTCATGCTGGTTGGGCGATGTCGGGCCAGTTGGCTGGTGGATGGGATGTAGGGGCGAAGCAGGCTGACGTGGAAGGAGGGGCTGACGTACCAGTCAGCGGGGAGGAGGAGGTGGGCGGTGACCGGTGTGACCATGTGGCTGATGCGGAATGGCCCACAATATCGGGGGCGGAGTTTCGGAGTTATGGGCAGGCGGAGGTTTTGAGTGTCGAGTAGTATTAAGTCGTCGGGTTGGTACGTGACTGGTCGGCGGTGTCGGTCGGCGTTGCGCTTAGCGATAACGTTCGCCTTTTTAATTGCGTCTGCTGCCCTGGTCCGAGCTTCCTGTAAAATTTCTGCGAACTGTTGCGCTCGTGGCACCGGGTTGTCGGGATTCGGGGTCATGGGTACTGTAGGGTCTTGTCCGTAGTTCAGGTAAAATGGCGACTGTTGGGTCGTGGCGGATGGCGAGTTGTTGTACGCGAACTCGATTAGTGGAAGTTGCTGTTCCCAGGTG